CTTTTTCCCCCTCAGGCTCCTGGGTCTGCGCTGCCTCAAGGTGTCCTGACCTTGAGGCTGATGAGGGGACCCCTGCCCATTCCCCCCATACTGAGTTCTAGGGAGGTGCTCACCCCAGACTCTCAGGAAGGGTCTAGAGAAATGAGAGGAGCACAAGCTAGGGGCCAGCTCTGAGAAAGGGTAACCTCCACGCTTCTCTTTCCCAAATTGGAAATGAAGACAGGTTTTCAAAGGCACAGGCTTCCCCTGCCACCTTCTAGGATCTTCCTTGGTGTGCAGTGGGCCAGTTAGGGGTGGGCAGCTTGCACCCAGTTCTCCTTTATCTCAACTTATTTTCCTGGGGAGAGGTGCCTAGAGGGATTGAGGTAACTTCAACTGGGAATTCTGAGGAAGGTGGGCAAGTAGCCTTGGCTCTCTCCTGCCATGGCGACCCAGATTGAGAGTGTGTTTAGCTCCCGACCACTTTGTCTTGACCTACTGAAAAGTTGGGAACTGAGGGGTGCCTTCATTCCCCTTTGTTCACTTTCTCCAGCTCAACTTGGGACTGGGGTGGTGGGACTGGAGACCCCACCCCTGCTCCCATCCCGCCCCCTTTCTATCCCAGCCTGTTTCCATGTAGCAGACCCTTCCTAGGGAGCAGGGAGGGGAAGCCACAGATTGCAAACCCAGGGGCTCCTTTTTCATTCTTTCTAAAACCTTGATATCCTCAGCCCAAAGGCGATGCCCCCTGCCACCTCCAAGCCTGGAATTGTGCATAACCCGGATCTTGTATCTTTGTATAACGGATGTTATTTGTACGAAGGGCAGTTCGTAAACAGCACTTGTTCTTTTAATAAAAGAATGTTTTGCAAAAAAAAAAAAAAAATCCGAAGAGTCCGTGCGTGGTCTGGCTTTATGGAAAGGGACAGGAGGTGGGTGCCAACTGCGGGAGGGTAGGAGGGCGTGGGCTGCGGCCCTTCTGTCGGCACTCAGCGGCAGAGCGCGCACAGACGCGAATGCTCAGCACACCCGGGCCCAGCCCGCAGGGTGCATCAATCCGTGGGCACCGGCCGTCGGGACCCTGACCCGTCCCGAGGTGACGCGACGCCCGCGTACTCGCTCCCAGAAGCGCAGCTGAGGCTCGGCCAGCAACAGCGAATCCTGGGAAGGTCCCGTGCCCTCGCGGGTGCCCCAGGCGCTGAGGCTGTGCGCGGGGCGTTCCGCTGCCAGACCCGCCCGGCAGGGGGCGCCAGGGCCGACCGCTCACGCCCGGCGCGCCGAGGAGGCCGCTGGGCGGGCCCCGCGGCCAGGCTTCCGGACCCCGTCGGCCCCTGGCCTTAGCCCTCGCAGAACGCTGCGGCGTCTTCCGGGGCCTGGCGGGCCGGGGACCGAGGGGGCGGGGAGGTGACCCGGCGGGGGCGGAGCCGGCGCGGGCGGGGGCACAGGCGCGGCGCGGAAGGCGGCCATGCGCTGCGTGGGGGCGATCTTGCGGCCGGCGGCGCACGGCGCCTGGGTGAGCACCCCAGCCCCGACCCGGCCCCCGCCCCGAACCCCACCTGGGTCCCTGCCAGCCCCCACTCCAGCCCCGGCCCCGACCGAGCATCCCGGAGCCCCCGGCCCGCCCCGCCGGTGTCTGGCTTGCCTCAGCTCACAGGCTTTTCCCTAGCGCCAGTTCCTCCCCAGCCAACACCTTCTCTTGCGACCTTTTTCTTACCCTCTCATTCCTCCCTCGCCCCTTCAACCCTGTCACCTCCTCCTTCCCAGATGGCCTCCCATGTCCTTCCCTTTCCACTGATTTTTTTTTTCCGTTTCCCAATCACTATCTTGTGATGCTTGCCATGCTTGCGTACTTTGCAGGACCTGAACCCGCGGCGGGACATCTCCTCCTGGCTGGTAAGTCCCCCCATCCTCCCCCGCGTCCTCACACAAGACCCCCAGGCACAGAGATCTAAAAGGCAGAGACAGGGTATGGAGCTAGGAGGGTACAGCCCTATTTCCCCAGACTCCCGGCACCTGGAGTTAGCCTGTGGCTCTCAGGGAGGTGGGGCAGACTAGAGGGCACTGGGCAGGGCGTCAGTCTTCAGTTCTGAGGACAGCAGCACCTAATGAACCAAGCCCGGTGTGGGTGGCCCTGCCACAGGCTGGAAGGATCCCGGCCCGCCCTCCCTAACACCCAGGTGGGAGCCAGCCTTTGAGGGAAGGCAGCTGGACCGTGAAACCTGAGCGCCTGCATGGCTTTGAAATCTCTTCACCATCCAAAGCTCACGGTCCTTATGGTGTCCTGGGAAACGGTCTTGTTGGGTGGCATCAGATCAGCCTCTTGTAGAGGAAACCTGCCACACACACAGGCCAGTGGGAAACTGGGAAAGGTCGCAGGCAGGAAGGTGCTTCCAGGGCTTGAGCTAACCCTGAGCCCCTCATCTTCCCTGGCCACAGGCCCGGTGGTTCCCTAGAACCCCAGCCAGGTCTGTGGTGGCCCTGAAGACCCCCATCAAGGTGGAGCTGGTGGCAGGGAAAACCTACAGGTGGTGTGTGTGTGGCCGCAGCAAGAAGCAGGTGAGACCCCTACCTGCCTTCCTACTGATACCTCTGGGAACAGCCTGGTGTCTCCAGTGAGTTCCCACCCAGATGATTTTAGTCTTCCCATACATACCTGAGGGACACCAAGGGGATTTGGGGACAAAAGGCCAGTGCCACCAGCAACCTTAAGCTCACTGCATCTATCTCTTGCAATGAAGCCAGAGAGACAGAAACTCAGTCACGCAGCCAGTCTGATGTGGCCAGGCTTCCAGTGGCCTCTTCTGGAGCTGTTTGCTTCTCAGAGGTGCACTGCATGACGAAGCTCACCTGGCCCTTCCCTGTCTCCTTCCAGGAAGCACCTGGGCCATAGATTCCCAGGCCTTGAACCCCGAAAGCCTACAGCACCTGGTATTTCCTGGTGGTCTTCCATCCAAGTACTAACCAGGCCTGACCCTGCTTAGCTTCCGAGATCAGATGAGATTGGGCACGTTCAGGGTGGTATGGCCATAGACACATTGGGAAGAGATTCTGCTCAGGCTCTCCTGCCTCCAAAGCCTCCCAGCCTTCCCCCGTGCCGCTCTCCACTCTTCTTCCAGAAAACTCTTCCTTCTTAGTTTATGGGACGTCCTGGCCGCCTGCCACAGTTTGCTGTCTTCTCAGCTTCGCTGCCTGCCCCACCTGCTTCCCCTTCTGCCCAGGAACCTTTCATCCCAGCAGGAACCTGCCCATATTGTTTGCCTCCCTGGCCCCTTTCCTTCCTGAGCAGAGCTCTGACTGGTGTTCCTTCAAGCTGTGTGGCATGGTGTCAGCAGCCCAGGGTCCCTGAGTCCCACTTAGGTCCACACACCTCAAGCCCTCTAAGACAAGTTGCTGGTTTCTATTTGCACGCTTCTTTCACCTCTCTTCCATCCCACCCTGACTCCAATGTCAAGAGGCCTTGGTTCACAGGCGAGGTGGCTCACCTGTAATCCCAGCACTTTGGGAGGCCAAGGCAGGAGGATCTTTTGAGCCCAGAAGTTCAAGAACAGTCTGGGCAACAAAGTTGAGACCCCGCTTCTACAAATGCCTCTACCCCTACCAAAAACTAGCATGGAGTTGGGCCTGTGTTCCCAGCCATAATGGAGGCTGAGGAAGGAGGACCACTTGAGCCCAGGAAGTTGAGGCTACAGTGAGCCGTGTTTGGATCACTGCACTCCAGCCTGGGCAACAGAGTGAGACCCTGTCAAAAAAAAAAAAAAAAAAAAAAGCCTTGGCAACAGTTCTGCCTTCAACTAACAAGGCATGTCACCTCTCTGGGCCTGTTTCCATTACCAGTCTCTGCTCGAGCAGCTTCTGGGATGGGGAGTACACTTCTGTGCCAGTCAGCCAGTTTGCGATGGGCATCCCCTCCTCCCGGTAACCTTCACTCCCTGTCACATGTCCAGTTATTCCCTAGAGCCAAACAAAATTGCTACCACAGGGTACTCTCCAGCCCAAAGAAGTTTTAACCCAGGAACATGGGAAGGAAATGAATTTCATGATCCAGTGGAGACTCAGAGCCATTCTCACACACACACACACACACACACACATCTATTAGTGTCCTGGCTCTCTGGGTGTCCCAGAGACTAATGCTATAAAGCCGCTGTAAATACTTACCAGACACTATAGGCAAAGCATACCATGATCATTATTTTATTTCCTCATACAACTCTACTCTTATCACCCCCACATTACAGATTAGAGAGGTCACTCGGTGAGCCCCGGCAGTCTCACGCTGGAGCCTGCACCCTAACCACTGTGCTGCACTCCCCCTGAGCTCCTGCGGTGTGCCCTGCTCCGCCCCATCCCAGCAGGTGGGGTCAGGTCTTTGACTCCCGTCTTTCCCCCACCAGCCCTTCTGTGACGGCTCCCACTTCTTCCAACGCACTGGCCTATCTCCCCTCAAGTTCAAGGCCCAAGAGACCCGCACGGTGGCACTCTGTACCTGCAAGGCTACTCAGAGGCCCCCGTACTGCGATGGCACCCACAGGAGTGAGCGCGTGCAGAAGGCAGAAGTGGGCTCCCCACTCTGAGGGGGCTGCTGCTGTCCAGCCACAGGTGGCCTTGGCTCCCGGCCTCTGACAGGCACCCCCTTCTGTGGGAAAGGAAACAGGTGCTGAGCCTAAGAAAGAGTTCTGGTACCCACAGCTGGCTCATGAAGGAAGAATTATTCCCTATAACCTAAAAGTCTCCAGTCTGGGGCAGGCGGGAGTGGGCCCTGGTTCAATGTTTGCTGATGGGGAAGATGGCAAAAACAAGCCGCCCAACTAGACTGGTGGTCCTGTAGTCATTGCTATGAGGCCCACGTGCTGCCTGCTACTCCAGATTTCAACCTGTCTGTGGGCTGGGGGCTCCTGACCAGTTGCCACAGGAGAGGGCAGTTCATATTCATTAAGTATGGGGTCCCCAAATCAGGCTGAACCCAGAGATGAGAGGCACCCTTCCCTTCTTCCCTCTACCCCAAAGAACTACAGGCTCCAGAAAGTATGCAGCATTTATTACAAAGCCAAGAGATACAGATGTCCCAGGGCAGAGGAGGGTACAGTCACAGGACCTCAGACACAGGACAAGGTGCAAATACAGACAAGCCCATCAGGGGACTCCCAACCCCACACACCTAGGCTGTGATGGAATCTTGAGTCTCGACTCCCGTATCCTCCCAGATCGATGCACGCATGAGGAAATCTCGGTGGGCAGGGACCTGCCAGGGTCTGTCCCTAAGGAGGTGGTCTGCTGACCGCTCAAGGGGTGGGGGTGGGGTCAGAGCTTACAGGTTTCTGTCTTGTGCTTTTAGATGCAGTTGCTCTGTCCTGACCAGGTGACCGGGCCTCAGCTGGGGGTGGAGGGGCAACTGGAAGGCTGTCTGCCTTTGGCAAAGTCTGGGGTCTGTGCTTGTGTGAGGTGAACCCACCCCAACTTCCACTCTAGGCCCCAGGTGAGACTCCACCACCAGTCCTGCTAGTGAGGGTTCCCAGGTGAGGGTAGGGTCGGTGGGGTTGCAGTGCTTCACAATGCTAAAGCCACAGTGGAATTCCAAGGGCTGAGACCTCTCAAGGCCTGAATCTTCTTTTCCACAAGATAAATGATGCAAAGGCCACACACACAGGAAAAAAAAAAAAAAAAAAAAAGAGGCAGAACTATGTATTCTTTGCACAAAGTTTCCACTGCAAGAGGAGGAGGTGATGCAGGTGCCACCTCCACCCCGCACTTGCTCCTCAGAACCAGGGATAAACTGCATTTGTAAAAGGCACTGTTCTTAGCAATTTCTGGACATTCAACAATGCGGGGGGCAGCCACTGGTCAGAGGCAGGACAGCAGCCAAGATGGGGAGAGAAACGGGGAAAGAAACAATTCTAACCGACTCCTATATGCAGCCAGTTGGAATCGTGCCTAAAGCTTTGGGGCTGAAGGGGTCCCAACACACCATCTGCCTTGGGAAACAGTGAGGACCGTGCAGAGCTTCACTGAGCCTCCAGCGGCCCATCCAGTTCATCTCCAGGTACCCCCCAAAAGAGCAAATTACACAAGACCCCCCAAAAATGAACACCATTTTCCACACATACACACACACACATAAAGTTTGTTTCCTGTGGCATTTAAATTAATCTGGTTGGTCCATAGAAAATAAGTATGTATATTTGGTTTTTCCTATGTACATATATATATAGATTTATTTATAAAACCCGCCCCCCACCCCCAAGGTGGGAAGAGCTGGGGAAAGTAGAAGAGGTGGAAAAAAGGGCCCAGAAAAAGTGGAAGGAGTGGAGAGGCTTGGCTGGAAGAAGGGAGAGGGTCCCTGGCCTCAAGTTAAGGGGGGCACGGGAGCGCCGTTGACAGTCATCTTGCGCCCTCTGCTGGTGGAGGATGGTGTCTGCAGGCAGTTCGAGGTACCCCCGTTGGCAGCTGTGGTGGCCCCACTGGCTGTCGAAGGGGGAGTGGGGGAGGTAGGGTGGGTGGCTGGAGGCCCATGGGAGCTGGGAGAGCCATGGGATGGGGTGGCTGGGCTGGGCAGGGAGGAGGAGGTGGCTGGCAGGGTGGCAGGGCTGGGAGCCTTGTCGCTGACTGACTCACACTCGGATGCCCCGCTGGTGTTGGTGCCCTCGGAGGGGGCGGGCACCGTGGCTAGGGTGAGCCGCTTGCAGGCTGGCTGGACACGGTACTTGAGAGGAAGGGGCCCGTTCTGCGGGGAGAGGGGACGAGGAGAGAGACAGGGAAGGGGAAGGTATCAGGAGAGAGAGGCCAACTAGAGGGCCACCAGCTTTAACCCACAATGTGCAAACACGAAAAAAAGGATGGGATGGGGTCTTGGAGAGGAGAGAGACAAGGATACAGGGCACACGAAGACCCAGAGAGGCAAAAGGTCTAAGCAGAGACTCTGTCAGAGAGGAGAGAGGGAGGCAAACACGGCAGCTGCCAGCACCTATTTCTGCCCCCAAATCGGGGAATGCCATCTGCCCAAGGAGCCTTGTCTCCTGAGTGGAAAGTCATCCGCAAGAGATGGCCCAGAGGCTGACCTGCTGTAGCAAGCCACCCTGGACACACAGCTCATGGGACAAGGGATGGACTGTCTCTGATAAGAGAAGGGTGACCCATGTGGCCACAGACCAATGCCAGACCCCGCGGGAGTCTGCTCCCTGCCTGCCCCACCCGCTGGCTCACCCGCCGCCAGGGGTAGATGTAGGCGATGTCCATGAGGGTGTAGTATTCCTTCAGTGGCTCGTCCTCGTACAGAACCTCCACCTGGGGGAGGGAAGCGGAAGACACCATGACCCTGGCTAGCTTGGGGCTCCAGGCTGCGAATGTCGGGGACTGGGAGGCGGGGCAATGGGAAGGGTGGATTTGCAGATGGTCCCTCATTTCTCTGGGGTTTCACTGTGGATTTGACTTCCCTGTCAGAGTTGTTCCAACATAACTCCTGACCACCAGGCAGGAAGGGGTCCAGAGAAGATTCCCCTATTGTTAGCAGCCCCCAGTCCCACCATGCACACAGCTGTCTGGATCTCCTATCTCTGGCAGGTCTCCCAGAGGAGCCGAAAGGCTCAGGGGGATCTCCTGGAACTCTGGCTCTCACCCCCAGCTGCAAAATGGAATCACCCAGGGAGCTTTAAAAAACACCAATGCTGGCTGGGCGCGGTGGCTCAGGCCTGTAATCCCAGCACTTTGGGAGGCCAAGGCGGGCGGATCACGAGGTCAGAAGATCGAGACCATCCTGGCTAACATGGTGAAACCCCGTCTCTACTAAAAATACAAAGAATTAGCCGGGCGTGGTGGCAGGCGCCTGTAGTCCCAGCTACTTCCGAGGCTGAGGCAGGAGAATGGCGTGAACCCGGGAGGTGGAGCTTGCAGTGAGCCGAGATTGCTCCACTGCACCCCAGCCTGGGTGACAGAGCAAGATTCCGTCTTGTCTCAAAAAACAACAACAACAACAAAAAACACCAATGCCTAGGCCAGGTGTGGTGGCTCACACCTGTAATCCCAGAGCTTTGGGAGGCCGAGGCGGGCGGATCACCTGAGGTCGGGAGTTCAAGACCAGCCTGACCAACATGGAGAAACCCAGTCTCTACTAAAAATACAGAATTAGCTGGGTATGGTGCCATATGCCTGTATCCCAGCTACTCGGGAGGCTGAGGCGGGAGAATAGCTTGAACCTGGGGGGGTCAGAGGTTGCGGTGAGCCAAGATCCTGCCAACAACCTGGGCAACAAGAGCAAGACTCTGTCTCAAAAAAAAGAAAACAACAAAAAAACACCAATGCCTGGCTAGGTGCAGTGGCTCACACCTGTAATCCCAGAGCTTTGGGGAGGCTGAAGTGGGTGGGTCACTTGAGGCCAGGAGTTGGAGACCAGACTGGCCAACATGGTGAAACCCTGTCTATACTAAAAATACAAAAATTAGCCAGGTGTGGTGGCATGTACCTGTAGTCCCAGCTACTTGGGAGGCTGAGGCACAAGAATCACTTTAAACCAGGAGGCGGAGGTTGCAGTGAGCCGAGATGATGCCACTGCACTCCAGCCTGGGTGACAGAGGGAAAAGAAAAAAAGAAGCAAAAACAAAAAATCAATGCTTGCATCTTACCCCCAGAAATTCTGACTTAACTGGTAAGTTGTGAGTTAACTCGTGAGATTTAACAGGCAACAGTTTAGGATCCACTGTCCTAGAGTGTGATCTGTGGACCTTCAGTAGCTAGGAGCTTGTTAGAAATATGGAATCTGGCCGGGTGCCATGGCTCACGCCTGTAATCCCACTACTTTGGGAGGCCAAGTGGGGTGAATCACGAGGTCAGGAGTTCAAGACCAGCCTGACCAACATGGTGAAACCCCGTCTCTACTAAAACTACAAAAACTAGCCAGGTGCGGTGGCAGGCACCTGTAATCCCACCTACTTGGGAGGCTGAGGCAAGAGAATCACTTGAACCCGGGAGGCGGAGGTTGCAGTGAGCCGAGATCGCTCCACTGCACTCTAGCCTGGTGACAGAGCAAGAGTCCATCTCAAAAAAAAAAAAAAAAAAAAAAGAATCTACTAAATCAGAATCTGCATTTTAACAAGATCTCCAGAGGACACATATACATTCAAGCTTGAAAAGTCATGTCCCGGAGCTCTGCTGGAATTTCAGACTAGTCTTCCCACAGCCAACCAGCCCCAGAGGAGGCCCTGCGTTTTTGCACTCATCTCTGCCACAGTTCCAAGTGTGCAACATGCACACATACACACCATCTTGGTCCCATGCACTACTGCACACTTACTTCAACACCCCCAGACTGCCCCCTAATCTTGGTTTCAACCACCCTTCTATTAACACATGGGTTCAGTTAACCACGAAAGCCTTGGGTGACACCTAGCCAGCCCTGACCAATGGCTGGTGTGCACAGACTGTCTGACACACCCATATACAGACACTCATTATTTGAAAGGCCCAGGGACCCACCTTGTACTTGCTGGGCACATCCATCTTGTTGCGGAGAAACTTGGCGAGATGCATGACGGTCATGGCTGCTGGGCATCGCAGGAAGCGCACCCCTGTCTGTTGGGGCACAGGCACCCATGGTAGGGGATCCACCCCAGGCCACTCCCTCCCAGCCCACATTCCAGTCCTGGGCAGGCCCCAGCACTCACTTTCTCTTTGTCCCCATCCCCATTCTCCAGGGGGCCCTTCTTCTCGTCCCGGTCCCTGGGGATGGAGAAAGAACGAAGCTAGGAAGACCCAGGAAGAACCAGGAGACCCAGGAGGATGGTCCCTCGATGGACACATCCAGAGGGCCCTGGGTGGGAGAAGGGGTGACTCAACCTAGGAGCCCAGAAGGGGCCAGCCTGGGCCGGACTTGCCTGGCACCTTCGTAGAATTCGATGGAGAGGCTGACAATCTCATCATCGCTCAGAGCCCCCTTCTCCTGCTCCAAGACCTCGCCGCGGTCCTCGTTGGAGCCGTTGGGGACTGCAGAAGGAGAGAGCTCTTGGGTTGGTGGAGGATGGAAGAAGGGAGCCCGCCAAGGACCCAGGGATCATGAACTCAGCCAGGTGAGCCGGGCCACCTTCTGGGGAGGTGTGCGCCGAGGAGGTCAGAGGGTGACTGGTAACACTACACACCTACATGGTCCCAGGCACGCCCATGCACACACAAACAGATGCGAGCACACTCACCCTCTGTCAGGGGGTACGCTGCATAGAAATCCCGCCGCCGTTTCATCTCATCTGGAAGAAGGGAGCGGATGAGGACAGGGCCATGGGTTGGGAAATGGGGTCGGTGGGCAGGAGGAGGAATGGTGTGCAGATACCTTTAAAAAGCCCAGGGACCAATTTGTAGACAATGTCTTGAAGGGTTTTGTCAGACCTGGGGAAAAATGGACAGGGTGTATCAGCAATGAGCTCTCCAGAGAACTGCTCTGACCTCACCCTGCTCTCCCAGTCATGGGACCTCTCTACCCACTCCCTTTCTGAGACCCAGTGCCCAGGCATTGGGATCCCTGTGGGTCTGGTCTTTGACCCTCTAGTATGCCTCAGCCTATGACGAGCCAAATGCAACCCCAAGGGAGGGGAGTAGCCCAAGTCCACACGCCGTGCTTCTCCCACACCTGCCGCCTTGGCTGAAGGAAGCACGGAGTGCGGGAGGGATGGGGGAGGCTGACCCAGAGGATGGCGGGGGCAGGAGTGCGGTGCCAAGCCTACCTGATGCTCAGCAGCGGCCGGGTTTTATGGACCTGCACATCACACATGGGGCAGTATTTGTTGGTCTCCAGGTAGCGCACGATGCAGGTTTTGCAGACTTGGGGGTGTGGAGAGAGGGAGGAGAGTTAGAGTTGCCTTCCAATCCCAGGACCAGCCTCCCCGCCCTCTGCTCAGACTCAGATATCCCTTCATCTCCACCCTGTCCCTGCTCCGAGGCCCAACGTGGCGATGTGTGTTTTGCACGTGTGGCACCTGTCCCTGTGCATTGTTGAGGGAAGCTGGATCTTGTGTGAGACAGGCCAGTGTCACGTACAACGCAGGTCAGCCCTCAGTCCCAAGCTCCCCAATGGAGTGGAGGACAAAAGCCAGCCTGTTCAAGATGCCCCTGGGTGTCACCCCCTTGCTGCCAAGCCCACAGTACAAACAAGGGGTGTCTGCATCTTCAGGGCATACAATTTCAGTCATTTCAAGAAAGAGCTAAGATTTCAGATGCAAGTCCTTGAAATGAACTTCTGGGCCGATGCCCCGCACCCAGTTGCCCCTGCAAGGTAGGCCCTCTGTGACTTGAGGATTCCCAGCAGACACGTGGGCACGTTGGCTCTTCAGGGCAAGGGTTTGTGTGCTACCTTCCTCAGGCCATGCCCACCCCAATCTGGGCACAGAGGCTGCCCACCCTGAGCAGCTCCCCTCCCCCCAACTCACAGGAATGCAGGCACTCCACGATAGTGGTGGCGTCAATGAAGTACCCCCCGCAGAGGGCACACATGAGGTGGGGGTTCAGCTCTGTGATTTTGATCCGTGTAGTCCGATGCATGATTCCGGGGTCGGGGGTGGGGGGACTGGGGAGCGTTGCCCTGGGAAACAAAGTGGAATCAGAAACCCAGAGTTGGCCGGGCATGGTGGCTCACACCTGTAATCCCAGCACTTTGGGAGGCCGAGGCGGGCGGATCACGAGGTCAGGAGATCAAGACCATCCTGGTTAACACGGTGAAACCTCGTCTCTACTAAAAATACAGAAAATTAGCCGGGGGTGCTGGCGGGCGCTTGTAGTCCCAGCTATTCGGGAGGCTGAGCTTGCAGTGAGCCGAGATTGAGCCACAGCACTCCAGCCTGGGCGACAGAGCGAGACTCCGTTTCCAAAAAAAAAAAAAAAAAGGCAGGAAAATGGAAGAGAAGAGGGCTTTTTAAACTCTCTCCTATCCCAGGCCGGGTGCAGTGGCTCATGTCTGTAATCCCAGCATTTTGGGAGGCCACAGCAGGAGGATCCTCCTGCCTCACATGATCCCTTGAGCCTGAGTGGTTGAGGCTGCAGTGAGCCGTGATTATGCCACTGCACTCAAGCCTGGGCGACAGAGCGAGACTCTGTCTAAAAAAATAAAAACAAAAACAAAACTCCCCAATCCCAATCCGTATTCACTCACATGGTCCACATTTAAAGCATCCTAGGAACTAGGAGGAAACTCAGATAAATCAGCCACTGGCCTGAAACTTCAAGGAACAGAAGGGAAAAATAAGTTATCCTCACTCCCTCAACCCCTCCACCCAGGTGCAGGGCCTCAGACTTGATCCCAGCCTCCTATCTACTCCGTCCATTCACTCCTCCTCCAAGAAGGCTTCCCTGGAAGCACCATGGCACAGGCTGCCCTAAGTTAGAAGGCCACAGCCATCCCTTGTGCTTCTGGCTCCGCATCCAGCCTAGGCTTTGGAGCACCTCCCTCCTCTAAAGTCTGCCAAATATAGGCTGCTCCCAGAAAATCCACCATACGCTGACCATTTGGCTTCCAGGCCTGGGACTCAGGCAGGGAACAGAGAGGGTCCTTACATGCCTGAAGCTGGGAATGCACAGCTCCAGCCCTAGCCCTGGACTCAAAGAGTTTAGGCAAAAAGGCTATACCCCTGCCACAGGAATCCCTCCCAGTGCCCCTGATGGACAGCCCCCTGCATGAGTGCTCCCTGCCCACAAGCACACAGGGTCCAGGAACCTCCCTTTCATGCACACTGCAGGAATTCCCCCCACATGGTCACTGTTACTCTCCCGCTGTCTCCTGCCCTGGTGACGCCTCTGCCACCTGTTCACAGGCTGTCCAGTGACAAACCACAGGCTCTCACAGATGCCTGCCAAAGCTGGGCAGAAAGTGCTCTGTGCCCAGACCGCCTGCCCGACACCAGCCAGGCCCAGGCAGGGTCCGGAGAGGTGAAAAGTCCAGCTCTGGATTGGCCACTGTGCTTCCTTCTTGGTAAAGAAATCAAACCAAACCTGCACCTGGAAGGGACAGCCCCTCCCTCCTCTTTCCCAGAGTAAAAGCCCAAGGGTGGGGCTTGGGAAGAGGCCAAGCCCCAACAGCTCCTTTACAACATACGCACACCCTTCTCTCCTTTCCAGAAAGATTTCTAAAGCCACCACACTGAGTTTTCTAGGACAAGAAATTCACAGCCGGGATCAGCAGTTTCTATAGAGACCCCAGGATGAGTCTGGCCAGGACCCAGCCAGCCAACAGAGGCTCAGGGAACCTGGCCAGAGACAGAAAGAGATGCAGAGACACAAAGGCCACACGTGGGAGAGACACCAGGTTACAGGGCAGACAGAGGGGAACAAGCCAGTCCCACGGCAAGCCCAGAGACACGGCAGAGAGGATGCGGCCCCAGGGATCTGAGAAGGGAGAGGGGTTCCCACCCCACACAGAGTGGCCTCGGCCAGCCCTCCCTGCATGGGTCCCCCCTTTGCAATTACGCAGAAAGCTGCTGGCTACTCCACTGTTTGGTCGTTTCCATAGTAACCCTGTCCCTGGCAAGATGCCCAAATATTATTACAACCATCCAGAGGAGAGAACAATCCAAGTGGCTGTCTCTCTGTGCGTGTGTAATATCCATCATGTGTACGTGCCATCTGGGCCTCCAAAGAAAGGTACTTCCTGTGCCTGCCTGTCGGTCATGTGTGTGTCCAGATGCATCTATGTGTGTGTGCAGAGCCACCAACAAACATGCTGATGCTGAGCTCTGATAACGCCTGGGGTCTCTGTCGCATGCCCTCACCTTTCTCCCGTTCACCCTCATATACATGTGCACGCGTACACACACATACTCGTAAACACATAGGCTCCGCACACTTCACACCGCCCAAGCCACCTCATTCACACACTCGCTGTATTTTCAGAACAGACACTTGCTCTTTTTTTTTTTTTTTTTGAGACAGTCTTGCTCCGTTGCCCAGGCTGAAGTACAGTGGTGTGATCTTGGCTCACTGCAGCCTTCACTTCCCGGGTTCAAGTGATTCTCATGCCTCCGCCTTCTGGAATTACAGGCGCATGCCACCACACCTGGCTAATTTTTGTATATATATATATATTTTTTTATAAACAGAGATGGGGTTTCGCCATGTCGGTTAGCCTGGTCTTGAACTCCTGGCTTCAAGTGATCCGCCTGTCTCGCCTCCCAAAGTGTTGGGATTACAGGTGTGAGCCAACACACCCGGCTGACACTTGCTCTTAAGGACCCCACAGCCAGGAGCCCCACACTGCGAATGGCTGTGCCCCTCACCCAATCATTTCCCTGAGCATTTCTGAGAATTCAGCCCCAGCCTATTCCTCAGGACCCTTTCTAGACCGAGGCCCAAGGCGCTGCTGACTGAATGAAACACTGCTCCTTCTCCAGTTTAAGAAAATAAGCCCCTTGCTACACTCCCTGCTCCCCCCACTCCATCCCCACAGGTTCTGACTGTTACCTCTGGGGCTGGGGGTGGGGAGAAGCACTGATTGGCTCCTCACCTGATTGCCATGGTTACCTGCAGGTCCCTGCCAGCAGGTGCCAAGAGCAATGTAAACAGGAGCTCTGTCTCCCTAGAGCACCCTCTCCCCATCTCCCCACCCCAGGAGGCCCCAGGCCCCGAATTCCTGACACCCAGTTCCTCCCCCGCTGCACTGGCTGGTGTGCTGTGGGAAGGTGAGGGAAAAGGGGTGATGGGTGGCTGGAAATCCAGCTGTCATTACTTTGAGGAAGAGGCTGGGAGATGGGAAGAACTTGAGGGAGAAAGAGTGGGAGACACAGATCCCAAGAAACAGAAAGGGGAGGCCAAGCGCCTTTGGAAGTGGCCTCTGCAGAGCTCAGGGGCTTTAACAGGTCAGTCCCAACTGTGTGTCCACCCTCTCCCTGGACTTGAGCAGTGTTTCCACCTCTAACACCACTTTTCCCCAAGCAGAAGCCACGCCCTTCAGTATCTTCTGCCATTGTCTTTGCAAGGGTGTGTGTGACCCTTAGGCGGCCCTCGTTCTGGGCCCTGAGGCCTTGGGTCTGGCTATTGCTACTGTGGCAAGAAAGGAGCCTGCTCAGCACCCAGCATCCAACCCCGACCCCTCCTTGCCATTCAAGCCTGGCACTTGTCTTTCCCAATCCTTAAAGACCTCTGCTAAGAAAACACCACCATCTCTCCCTCTCTCTTTTTTTTTTGAGACGGAGTCTCGCTCTGTCTCCCAGGCTGGAGGGCAGTGGTGAGATCTCGGCTCACTGCAACCACTGCCTCCTGGATTGAAGCGATTCTCCTGCCTCAACCTCCCAAGTACTTGGGAATACAGGCTCCCACCACCACACCTGGCTTATTTTTTTATTTTTAGTAGAGACAGGGTTTCACCATGTTGGCCAGGCTGGCCTCCAACTCCTGGCCTCAAGTGATCTGCCTGCCTTGGCCTCACAAACTGCTGGGATTACAGGCATGAGCCACCGCACCCAGACCCATCTCTCCATTTTAACCAGTGTCTTTCTGGAATCCACCCTGCAATTTAGGCCTCTCTCACTTCTTCATGGTCCCCTGTGGAAACAGTGGGTCTCCCAGCCAAGGCCCCTGTGCTTCTCCGATGCCATAGCTCTCTCTGCTCTGCCTGCCTTCAAATGAAATCAGCCCCACTCCCTCACTAGAATGTCTCCAGGTCTTAGGAAAAGTCACTCAAGGTCACATCCAGATGTCTAGAACTGCAGAGGTGAAAGGGCTCTTAGAAAGCACCTTGTTTGGCTGGGCGCGGTGGCTCACACCTGTAATCTCAACACTTTGGGAGGCCAAGGTGGCTGGATCATGAGGTCAGGAGTTCAAGACCAGGCTGGCAAAGATGGTGAAACCCCATCTCTACTAAATACAAAAACTAGGCCGGGCACAGTGGCTCACGCCTGTAATCCCAACACTTTGGGAGGCCCAGGCGGGTGGATCATGAGGTCAGGAGATTGAGACCATCCTGGCTAACATGGTGAAACCCCGTCTCTACTAAAAATACAAAACATTAGTTGGGTGTGGTGGCACACGCCTGTAGTCCCAGCTACTCGGGAGGCTGAGGCAGGAGAATCGCTTGAACCCAGGAGGCGGAGGTTGCAGTGAGCCGAGACCGCGCCACTGCACTACAGCCTGGGCAACAGAGCGAGACTCTGTCTCAAACAAACAAACAAACGAAAAATACAAAAATTAGCTGAGCATGGTGGCAGGTGCCTGTAATCCCAGCTACTCAGGAGGATGAGCCAGATAATTGCTTGAACCTGGGAGGTGGAGGTTGCAGTGAGTGGAGATCATGCCATTGCACTCCAGGCTGGGTGACAGAGTGAGACTCCATCTCAAAAAAAAAAAAAAAAAAAAAAAAGAAGCACCTGTTCAATCCTTTCATTTTACAGATGAGCACACTCAGATGTGACTTGTCAAAGGTCACAAAGCAAAGCAGTGACAGTCCTGCGACAAGAAAGTGCCTGACTCCCACCCCAGTGCTTTTAACATCCTGGCACCTGGCCAGGCTCCTCACTCCTCTAAAGCAGTAATGCCTGGCTTCATCCCAGCAGGTGGGAGGGAAGAAGGGCAGCTCCCTGGAGTGGCGGGAAGACCACTCAGTGGGCCGCTATCTAGGAGGGAGTCAGTCTGGCCCAAACATGACCATCAGCATGGACTCCTGCCTTGAGGCAGGAAGAAGAGGCACCCGTTAATCACCTTACCCCACTTCCATGGTACACATGGGGAAACAGAGGCTGCAGAGAAGCACAAGCCAGCCAGCCAGAGTACAGCATCAAGACTCAGACCCCGGGTTTTCTGACTGTTTCTCTCCCAGCTTCATCGGTCCAACTGCGCAAGCCCCTTGTATTTGTGTTTGGGGCCGTGAGGGTCTGCCTAGGGACACTGTGAACCTCCCAACTTTCCCCAATCCTTGACAATGACACAAAGATCTGCTCCCCTGTCCCCACCATGCATTGAAAAGGGCCTCCTGAAGCTGGGCTTACTCAACCCGCCCTTCCTCCCTCTCCTCTCAACTCCCTAAGATCAAACAGGCAAAACCCCAAAATATACACATTGCCAGATACACACACATACAGCCAGACACACCCCCCTCCACCTCTCACACTCAATACACACAAGGCCAGATAGACATGACACGACCCCCACCCCCGACACACACACATACACACACAATCACAGCCAGACCAGAGCCAGGCCCATCCTCACTAGATGCAGGAGCCATCCACATCCACCCCCAACCTAGAAGCACACAGCCTAACATCCCTGCCTGGAACCAGACTCTGCAAACACACACTAACCTTTTGTACGCCCCGGTCCACCCAGGGTAAATTATAATGTAAGTCTTCCAGTAACAAAGGCAGTTCAGCTTCCAATGTCAGCTCTGGGGACCAGAGGCTGAAGGGCTTCAGTGGGCATCTGACCTGCACAAAGCTGTACCCTCTTCCTGTTCCGGCTCTCTCCATTCCCATGACAACAGCTCCATCAACCAAGATCTCCCAGGCAAGGCCAGGGGCAGCAGAGTCCCCCTTCCTGCCCAACCCCCAAAACTTCAACTTGAACCCTACCCAGCTACACACGGTCTGGATCCTGGGGTCGGTTTCCTGCTTCATTCCAAAGACAGTTCTAAAGCCTCAATCCCCCAACCCCCAACCAGAGGAGCTCGTGGGAAAACCTTCCCACCAAAAAGCTGCAACAGGGCTGGCTTTATGCTCCAAGTAATAACACCTTGGACCAGAGTGGAGGGGGAGGGAGGAGAGAAATTAAAGAGTTTCAGGAACAGAAACTGCCAGGGGTCCCAGAGGAAGAGGCATCAGAACAGAGCGGGGAGGGGACAACCAGGAGACAGCCCTCCCCTCGACACAGAGAGCTCTGGGGAGCCTGAGGAAGCGTGGGGGACACTGAGGGACAAAGATCTTGGGAAGCGCTAGGTAACACTTCCACAATATTCACTGGCAAATTAACCCGCCTCCAGGTCGCCTCCTCCCACCTCAAGCCAACCGGAGCGATTACGGGCAGAGGGGCAGTGGGGGAGGGCGAGGGACATGCCCGGGCCCACCGTGGAGACAGGCAGTGGGTGTCTGCTTGCCCGGGGGTCCCACGCCCTCAGAGCTAGCAGCAGGAGGGCGTGCGGAGGGTGGGGTGGCTGGGCGTCCCAGGGGAATGGGGGCCAGTTTAGCGGACCCCCCTGCTTCCGATGGCGATGGGAAATATTGCGATAAATTTCCCTCCATCCCCATTCTACCCCCTCTGCCCGGGCTTCCCCAGGGGCCCATGTCCAAGGATCAGGAACCCCAGTTACCGGGTAGCCGCTCCCACCTTCCCTAGAGCCAAACTTTCCGCGGGGCCGCGGGAGGGGTGTTCGGGAGGGAGGCTTTGCTGAGGTGGTTCAGGGAGGGGGCGGGGCGCCGGCGCCGGGACGGGGAGCGGGGACCGGCTGGGGGAGGTGCCCGAGAGGACCCGGGCCCGGGCGGGGAAGGGCGCCCTCCCCCGGCCTCGCGGCCGCCCCAAAGCACATCCCCTTCTGCCGGCCCCAAGTCCCTGCGCGTCCACAACGCCCCAGTGCCCATGGGAGAGGGTCCCCTGCCCAGACGGAAAAGGGGGCAGATAGGGCAGAGCAAGGGGCGGTTTTGGCTCGTGGGGAGCGGCGACCCAACCCAGCGCGCAGCCCGCAAGCCCTCCCGGCTGCCCCGGACCTTCCCCCTTGCTACCTCGGAACAGGGTCTGCCCGGGGGCTGCTGCACAAAGAGGTGGTGGTCGAGGGAGATGCCAAATCGTTAAGAGGGGGAGCCCGTTTCGGCCATCTTGGAAGAGAGGAAAGGGAAAAAGGGACAGAAAAAAGGGAGAAAGAAAGGCGGACGGGGCAAGCTGGGCTAGGGGCTGACGAGGAGCGGGGGGTGCGAGGGCAGGATCGGCTCAGAGCCTCCCCCTCCCACCCGGGCTTGCAAAGAACCGCCGGCCCCCCATTCCAATCCCCAGAGGGTTACAGGCCAGGAGAGGGAAAGGAAGGGGGAGTCTGCTCCACTTACCTGGGTTCGGGGTCCGGTGGGTCTCGGGGAGGGGGGGATGGGAGGGAGGGAGGGAAGGGAGGGGAGGGGGGCCGCAGCCGTGTCGCTCGCCCGGGCGGCGGGAGGGGAGAAACCTACGGTAAGAAAGGAGTTTGTGAAAGCGGCTTGGGGTGGGAGGGAGAGAGGGGAGGGGAGGGGACCGAGGGGGGAGGGGAGGGACCGGAGTGTTAGGGGGGAGACAAAATGGCTTTTTTCCTCCAGACAAGAGTAGGTCCCGCCCACCACTCACCCACGTGACCTCATTCCTTCAGGATGCTGGCAGAGAGGGGAAGAGGAGGGGGAGGCTGGCGCGGCCGCTCCCAGCCACCGGGTGCCGGGCCCCCAGCCAGGACGAGACCCCTCCCTTCCCACGCGGCCCCCCCGACCCCGGAGGATGGATTCTCTTCTGTTACCTTCCGCAGTCATCCCCCTCCCCTCAAAATATGGGTTCCCCCCACTGACCCTGTGATGCCCACCCATAGCTGGGGCGCCTGGAAAATGGTGAAATGGGGACTGGGCTGAAAGGTGGCCCGCGGTCCCCCACGTCCTGGCCTAGGGCAAAGGGCGCGGGGCTCCGGCGGAGGACGCGACGCTTCAGCCACGCGTCCGAGCGATTTTCATTCACTCCAAGTGACACTGCCTTAAAATTAATAACTGCATCTGGGAGGGGGAGCGTGTCCTCCCCGCTCTCTTTGCCCCCTCGGCGGCAGGGGCGCTGGCCCCGAAAAGCGGCGCACCAGGATCCAGCCTGGGCGCCTGGCAGGGAGCAATCGCGAGAGGGGAGTGGAGGTGCGGAGTGAGGCCGGGTGAGGGGTCTCGCCGCCGGGGGCTCGGGTCGCTCTGGCGGAGGCTGCGCCCCCGGCGTGCTCGGGCAGAGAAGAATGGAGGCCTGCTGAGGACGGTAACTCAGGCTCCGGGCCTGGGACACAATCCGGCCGAAAGCGAGAGGCCACACTGGACTAGGAAACGAGGCGCCAGGCTGGAAGGTGGGCCCGCGCCTTTTCTCCTGCCTGGCGCCGATTCCCGCATTTTTCGCTCGCGCCCTGCGCTGCGCGCTGCCTGTGCGCCTCCCTCGGCGCGGGCGGGAGAGTCGGGCAAGCGCCAAGACGGCTGGGCTCGACTCCCACCGGCGCCCCGGCTCCACCTGGTGCTGGGGCTCCGGTCCTCAGTGGCTCCGGCTGGAGGGAGAAAACGAGGAGGGAGGCTTGGAAACGCCGGGAGGAGCGGTGAGGCCGGCGCCGGGGAAGCGAATCGATACTGCGTTACTGGACGCCCGCGGGCCTCATGAGGACAGTCGATTCGCTCATTCGTTATTCACGATTTATTAGGGATGGCGGCCGCGTCTGTCCCTCCAGAGAGCTTGATTATCCATCCGGCCGGTAGCGCCATTAAGCGCACTGACGGTGGGAGGCTCGAGTTAGAAATTGGGAAAGGAATCTTCGCCCAGTTTTGGAGCGCCTGCCTCTCCTTGCCTCGCTGCTCGCAGCCAAGGCAGCCCCGAAACTGGGGGCCCCGGCTGAATGCTTTCGCCCTCTGGCCGCCGAGTGACCCCAGCTTGAGCCTGCAGCCACAACAGCGGGACGGGGGCGGGGAGGAAGAGGAAGGGCGGAGAGACTTCCTTCCAGAGGGAGTGGTCCGAGAACCGGCGGGAGAAGGGCCAAGGGAAGATCCGGTCACCTCCTCCCAAGCCTGCAGGCGAAGAGGCGAGTTCACCGGCCCCGGAGGAAAGGGGACCCGCCCACTGTTCCCAGGGCAAATGTGTCGCCGGCGTCCTGGACTCTGCCAGGGAAAACGCGCATCCACTCGCTCTGCCGGAAGGGGAGCGCGGCAGGGACTCCCAGGCAGCCGCCCCTCTCTGGCTACAAGACCCCGAACAAGAGAAACCCGTAACAGGGCCTTTGCGGAGATCTGGATCCCACCCACCAACCAAACGGACACCTAGGGGCTGCCCCTCGGGGCATTATCAGCCAGTGGGAAGGAGGTTGGCGTTCCTCTGCGGCCCATGAATCCTGGAGGGCTTCCCGAGGGACCACCGGGGTCCATCCACTTATTCCTCGGTTGTTAAGCGCCGGACAGGAGAGAACCGCTAGAGGAGTGTGCTAAGACCCCATTACCCATTAAAACTCCATTTTCATCTTTTGCGTCCTTGATGAGTAGTCCCCACATTCCTGGCCTTTCTGGTTTCTCAGGAGAACCTTCTGACCAGCTCCTCCCACATCGGAAGAGTTTTCTAGTCTTTTGTTCTACTGCTAGCCGACAGAGAAGCACCTGTCATGTGCCAGTGTCAAATGCTGCGCTAGGAACTGGGGACTCAAGGCACAAGAGCCTGGCTTTTGCGCGGGGTGCTCACAGGCCGGTGGGTGCAAACCCTGAGGGACACACAGCCTGTCCCTTTAGCGCCCACCGCTTCTGATGTGAGCGCTAAGGGTGAGTGAGTACTTGGGTGGGCTTCCACAAGAGGCCTCCTTTGAGCCGAATCTGCAGAGACCAAGTGTCTATGAGAACTGCTTAAGAGTACTTTGCACATTCTCCTCCACAAAGGTCGAGGCTCCCGCCGCGCCCAGGAATGCGCCTCGGCAAACATTAGGCGCCCCTTGATTTTGTGTTTGCATCTCACGCGGTCCTCTAGCTGACAAGTGCATCAGAAGAGTCACAGTGTCTGTCACAGGCTAGAGGCTCGCAGAGGACAGGAACGCGGGAAATCTAGGCAATTATCTCCAGCATATACCAAGAGCTATTGCGAGGCTCAGATCCCTTTAAAAATGGTGACGAGACAGGAGAGGGCGGCTCCTCTAATGCTTTCCGGAACGTCTTTACCTCTGTGTCCTTTATACCTTTTATCTCCCCCAAACAAGGTCCTTGGTCAGTTTCTGCTTCTCTTTCCACATCCTCCTCCCCAACTTCTCTGTGTAGTTCTAGGGGGAAAAAAATGTATTGTTTTCCTTTTTTTTCTGATGCTTCTCACTTTAAATGTGTCTATTGTCCCTCTCTCTGTCTTGGGGTCTTCCGCACTCACCCTGCCTAGTTGTCTGTCATGTCCCTTCTTTCCTTGTATCACAACAATGTTCTCCCTTTCTCATCTTTGTTTCTCTTCATACCTGTTTCTCTGCGTGTCTCTCTCTCATTCCCTTCCCTTCCAAATGTAGTATTTGGAGATTGTAATATCGACTGAGGCAGACAATAAAAAACTGTCGAACCTCCACTGTAAATTCATGCCTAATCCTACGAAAAAATGCATCCTGAAACATGTTCCTTGCACAGTGAAACAAAAACCTCTGTCTTTAGGTTTCCTGCCATCCAGCTTGGAGGCGGGGTGGGGGGTGTGGAGGGAAGTGCTGGATAAATTATCCCATTATTGACTGAGCAGCAAAGAATTTTCAAGAACAGTGATTCTCCTAGAAAAAGTATTGCTGCTGCCATTTCTATGCAAAATTTGGCTTTTGAGTAAAAGGCTTAGGTTTTTATCTTACGGGGGGCGGGAGGAACAAAACCCAAAAGACAAAAAAAAAAAAACCCACCGCGTCCCTGGGTGGGCTCGAACCACCAACCTTTCGGTTAACAGCCGAACGCGCTAACCGATTGCGCCACAGAGACCGCGACGATTGCTGGCGTGGTGGTGAGTCGAGTCAATGGGAGCGAGCCTGGACGGTGCAGACGCCGTAAGAGATGCCGCCATCGGGCGAAATAAGTGGAACCCGGGGGAGAAAGGGAAGGATCCTGATGGGGGAGGAGGACGAAAGGGCTTGGGAGGAGAGGACGCGGGACGTGCACCCCCTTCCTCCATTGGCTTGGCGAGAGGTCGACTGGCTGTCCTCAGGTTCTACCTCAAACGTGGAGAGGCCCGGAACATCCTTTTTTAGGGTGACCTGAGATTGAAGATACGTGAAGTCGGCGCGCAGGAAGTCCCCCAAATCAGAACAGCCTTGGGCTTCCAAACTCCCCTTCGCAGCTGAACCCCTGCAGCCGCAGAATACCCACGACGCCTACCCGCGACGCCTTCCACTTCCCACCTGCATCATTAAATTTACATTTAATGGGCGCCTCGTATATACCAGGCACTGTTGTGGGCCAGTGACTATTCAGAGCCTAGGCAAGTGCCTGGTACACAGTAAACGTAAGGATTTCTGGAGTGAATAAATAAGCTAGCACGACTAATAGGACGAACTCATACATCACGGTGATAAGCGTCACGGTGCCCCTTCAGCTGGGGCCGCAGCCCCCTAAACCCAGTTTCACCAGCCCACGTGCGCGCAGGCTCCGCCCCCAGTCCCGAGTCAGGTCCGCCGAGATCCCACTATGCACCGTGTTGCAAGCCTCTTCCGCACCCACAGTGACTTTTCACTTCCGCTTTTCCCGCCTCCGTTTTGACTTTGCAACCAAACTACCTGTACTGGTGACCGACAGGGATGCGGGACCAATAGAAAGCCCAGATGTCCAGGAAGAGTCCGCCTATCAGCCAATAAAGAGACAGCAGCGAGAGCGGTTGCGCAGTGAAGGCTAGACCCGGTTTACTGGAATTGCTCCGGCGATCGAGGGGTCCTAGTACACCGCAATCATGGTGAGATGGGGAGTTAAAGCAAAGGAGCACAGGGAAGGATTGAGAAGCGGAGGGGGTCGGGAGAGGCTTGGGGACGAAAAGGGCCAAGGGTCGATGGAAGGAAACGGTTTCAGTTCGAGGGGAGCGGACCCCGGTGAGGACCAAGAGGGTGAGTGCGGCTCATCGCCGCCACACAGTGCTCATCCCAGCTGGAGAACCAGGGGTTCAGGCGCCTCCGGAATGGAGAACGGGCGTACAGGAGCCTCCGCATCAGGAGCTGGGCCGGGGGCTGTCGCAGCGTTTGAACCCCCGCGCTGACCCCTTCGCTCTGTCTGTCCTAGTCTATTATGTCCTATAACGGAGGGGCCGTCATGGCCATGAAGGGGAAGAACTGTGTGGCCATCGCTGCAGACAGGCGCTTCGGGATCCAGGCCCAGATGGTGACCACGGACTTCCAGAAGATCTTTCCAATGGGTGACCGGCTGTACATCGGTCTGGCCGGGCTCGCCACTGACGTCCAGACAGTGTAAGTTTCAAGGGTCCCTGCCCACACCCAGGTCTCTTCTTGGACCATCCTCCCCTGGCGTCTTGACCGGCCAAGGTGTCAGTCATCTACCACACACCACCAGTGAGTTTGAGACTTTGCCGCACACCATAGCGATACAGAGATGTATCCTAACCAACTTTTACCCGCATTTCCGCTGTGCCAGGCTCTGTGGAAAACACCTCACATTCATGGACTTACTTAATCCTCTCCCTGAGGATTCCATGTTGCCATCCCATTTTGCAGATGAGGAAACTGAGGGTCTCAGAGAGTGTCTTGCCCAAGAAGCAAAGTCAATGAGTGTCAGCCAAGATTCCCACGCGAGTCTCTCTAAGGCCGAAGTCAGCGCTCAGTCCCTAAAGAGCGAGACTGTCTCCAGAAACGTGTCCCTCCCTTTTTTCTCTTTTTTTTTTTTTTTTTTTTTTTTTTTTTTGAGACAGGGACTTGCTTTGTCACCCAGGCTGGAGCTCAGCGGCGTGATCTTGGCTCACTGCAACCTCCACCTCCCAGGCTCAAGCAATTTTTGTGCCTCAGCCTCCTGAGTAGCTGGGACTACAGGCACGCACCACCATGCCTGGCTAATTTTTGTATTTTTAGTAGAGACAGGGTTTCACCATGTTGGCCAGGCTGGTATGGAACTCCTGACCTCAAGTGATCCACCTGCCTCAGCCTCCCAAAGTGCTGAGATTACAGGCATGAGCTACCGCACCTGGCCTGACTTTGATTTTGACACCAATTTTGAGGGGACAAGGCAAGCCCAACAGAAACATCTTACAAACAGTTGGGGTTTTGATATTACATCTCAGGGTTGGGGAAGCATTGGCAATGTGCCAAATCTATGGGAGCAGATTCTGGAGAGACAAAGTCTGTAGAGAGGGAAATAATGAGTAGCAGTTTAAGAGCTGAACCTTACATTTAGCAGTGAGGCGACAAGAGAAACCAGATAATAAGAAGAGAGGAGAAGAATGGCGATAGGCTTTCAGGAGGGAATATGTGGTCACAGGGGGCAGGTGCTGCAGGGTACTGGTGGCCTGAGGAGCGGCAGGTCCTGGATTTGTTTCCTAGAAGGTGGAGAGACTAGCTCACAAGTGTGGGTGGATGCCTGTCAGAAAATGTTCTCATTTCGGCCAGGCGCGGTGGCTCACACCTGTAATACCAACACTTTGGGAGGTGGGCGGATATCTTGAGGTCAGGAGTTCCAGACCAGCCTGGCCAACATGGTGAAACCCTGTCTCTACTAAAAATACAGAAATTAACTGGGCGTGGTTGTGATCACCTGTAATCCCAGCTCCTCGGGAGGCTAAGGCTGGAGAATTGCTTGAACCTGAGAGACGGAGGTTGCAGTGAGCTGAGATTGTGCCACTGCACTCTAGCCTGGGCAACAGAGTGAGATTCTGTCTCAGAAATAAAAAGAAGGCAATTAAAAAAGAAAATGTTCTCATTTCTCTTAAAACTCCCTGAGTCTCAAGAACATAACACTTACTGAGATCTCGCAGCCCTTTTTTCCTATCCTGGTAGAGTCAGAGAATGACATCCTGGGGTTCCTGTCAGTGTGAAGTCTCCTGTGAGCCTTCCCCTCTCCAGTCACTGCTGTTCTCACACCATTTCCTTTTCTTCAGAGGGCTTTTCTCACCGCGTTTGCTTGTTTGTGGGCAATAACTGCCCATTTCACTAGGCCTCGGTTTCCCTACCTGGAAGATGAAGCTCAAGTCATTTCTAAGGCTCTTTGCTCTGGTGTCCTGAGACACTGCTTTGCCTCCAGCAGGTGTGGCATTGGTCTGCTCTATGCAGGGGCCTATCCTGGGGCTCTGAAATGGAACTGGCAAGCTGTGACCTTTTTTCCTTTTTTCACCAAAGCTGCCAAGTGGCCTTTTTCTTTTTGGAGACGGGAGTCTCGCTCTGTCGCCCAGGCTGGAGTGCAGTGGCGCAATCTCAGCTCACTGTAAACTCCTCCTCCTGGGTTCACACCACTCTGCCTCAGCCTCCCAAGTAGCTGGGACTACAGGGGCCCGCCACCACAGCCAGCTAATTTTTTGTATTTTTAGTAGAGACAGGGTTTCACCATGTTAGCCAGGATGGTGTCAATCTCCTAACCTCGTGATCCGCCCACCTCGGCCTCCCAAAGTGCTGGGATTACAGGCATGAACCACTGCGCCCGGCTGCCAAGTGGCCTTTTTCTAAGGCACCTTTCAGGTCTGTTAGCACATAGCACAGCAGTTGGTGCTGCTCTTTTTTTCTTTTTTTTTTTGGTCACCCAGACTGGTGACATAAACTTAACTCACTGCAACCTCTAACTCCAGGGCTCAAGTGATCCTTCCACCTCACCCTCCCAAGTGGCTGGGACTAAGGTGTGCGCCACCATGCCTAGCTAATTTTTGTATTTTTTGTAAGAGACAAGATTTCACTACGTTGCCCAGGCTTGGCTTGAACTCCTGAGCTCAAGCGATCCACCCGCCTCAATCTCCCAAAGTGCTGGGATTACAGGTGTGACCCACTGCGCCCAGCCTAAAACTTTTTATATGGAATGCTTCACAAATCTGCATGTCATCCTTCTGCTAATCTTCTCTGTATTTTTCCAGTTTTAATATATGTGCTTCCAGGCCAGGTGCAGTGGCTCGCGCCCGTAATCCCAGCACTTTGGGAGGCCGAGGCAGGCAGATCATGAGGTCAGGAGTTCGAGACCATCCTGGCTAACACAGTGAAACCCCATCTCTACTAAAAGTGCAAAAAAATTAGCTGGCGTGGTGGCGGGCGCCTGTAGTCCCAGCTACCTGGGAGGCTGAGGCAGGAGAATGGCGTGAACCCAGGAGGCGGAGGTTGCCGTGAGCCCAGATCCTGCCACTGCACTCTAGCCTGGGCAACAGAGCGAGACTCCATCTCAAAAAAAAATATATATATATGTGTGTGTGTGTGTGTGTATATATATATGTGTATGTATATATGTGTATATGTGTATGTGTATATGTATATGTATATGTGCTGCCAAAGTGAGCACCAGTTGCTACTTCCTAACACATGTAAGACTGCAGTTTTCCCTGGGCAGGGACTGAGATGAGGTGTCTCCTTATGTGCCCCTGACCTCAACAGGGTAGACACTTGGGGATATTCAATAATGACTTACTAACTCA